TAGCGCCTGTCCGGTTAGGGATCGTTAAGCCAACTGCATTTGTCTGTCAAACGGAAAACTCGGATTGCTTGCACGTAAAGTTTTTACCGTTTTTTTTAGATTAAAGATTGAACGGGTTCGTGGCTTTTTTGAACCTTTTTAACGCTGATATATCTCTCCAAGAGATGTTTAGTTGGTTGAGAGATACCTTGCTGGGGAAACAGATTTATCTCAGTTGAGTAGTAAAATGGAAGAAGACACACTTGCAAAACCATCTGCACGACGACGCCGGGTAATTTTTCCCACGTTTATTCTCGCTATCTCTTTTCAAACTTCTGTTTAATAGAACGCTAGTTTCTAATTAGTCTTATTATTATTATTATTATTATTATTATTATTATTATTATATTATTATTATTATTATTATTATTATTATTATTATTATATTATTATTATTATTATTATTATTATTATTATTATTATCATTTTCATTTTCATCTTGCAGGTAACTAGTCGACGGGATACAGATCGTACCGTTGATGAGGGTCCTAACACAAACCCCGCTTCGAACACTTTTGCCTCTTCTGCTAATGTGGGCGATAGCGACAACTCTAGTGATTCGGACAGCGATGGTTTATCACTTACTTGTTATTTCGTACAAGATGTCAATTGCTTATTAGAGTATCAAATTTTTACTTTCAGACCTTCAATCGTCGCGCCATTTGCGCAGTCAAAGTTCTATAGGAGATGCTATGGATCAGTCTGATGAAGAAAAGTCCAAAAGTTTGTTTTCATGATTAAATACAGGGACTTTTGCAGGAACTTGAAACATTTTTCTTACGAATTTCATTTTTACAGAAGTTAATCTCACTGCCGCAATTTTTTCTGCACTCATAATCTCTTGATGGTTAATTTTTTGAGGTAAAAATACTATGGATTTGGAAGATGTTTATAGCAGTTATACTAGCGAAGATGAGGATGAAGAGGATTCAGTTGACTCCGGCAGTAGTCATGGGGAAAATGACGAGGAACAAAGTCAAGAGAATGATCCAACAGATGAAGATGATGCTAGAGAAGAAGGTGATCCTTAAAGTATTGTGCTGTTAACTCCACACCGTTTTTTATTTTTCTTTTTTTGGAAGTTGGCTTTCTAATGCTTCAGAAATGGTTGTTGAGTTTGAAAATGAAAGCTCTCATCAAAATCGTGAAGAAGACGAAGGCGATCGTTCTTACGGCAATGAAGAAGACGAAGTTTATGAAGATGGGGAGGCAGATCGCAATGGAGAGCAGGAGATGAGGGATGAAGATGAAAGAGGTAATGATGCAACAAATGAACAGGGCGGAACAAGTCGGAGTGGTGAGTATCCTCTGTTCTTTTGTTCAATCTGAAATTTTTGCTATTTTTTTAATTGTTTTTTAAATTTATTTTTGTTGCTCTGAACACCACTTCTGAACTTTTCTTCCCCTTTATTAATTTAATTTTCTTGTAATATGCGTGTGTAACTTGCTTAATCGTTTTTTACACAATTAGAACCTGTTTCTAATAATGCCGACACAGTAGCCACTAGTTCTGACGGAGTCCCCTCGAATAATTCTGAAG